ATTGGGGTGGTTACTCCTAATTTGCACCTGAATATTTGAGAAGGGAGCTGGGTTCTGTGGATTATAACTACTAAATACCATTCAGTTTGCAGGACTATGCACGTGTGCAGACAAAACTTAGGGATGCAGCCTTGATTCCCTCACTGGGCCACAGCCTGCAGGCTTCATTAGACCTGCCAGACTTTACCTAATTTTGGTGTTATTCCCTCATCATTACATCATGACTGTGGAGACAGGGTCATTCTCTCCTATGTTGTGGTTGTGGAAAGGATTCATGTGGTTTTGGTAGGGGTAGGCAGTGTTTGAACAGATTTCAACTATTTCAAGCACTGTTGCCCATGCTGGGAGTCTCAGGAGAAGATTCAGTCTCAGCAGAGTGGATTTTGCTCTCCCATCAGATGTGATCTATGCACTGTGAAAGATGGGAATGTCCTGGTTCACAGCTCCAGGGTAACAAACTGGGAAAGCTGCCCTCCATCCCAGGTGCTGTGCTCCCAGCCTCAGTGTGTCAGTGCATCCTCTTCATTAGCTGGAAATGGTTTCAAGTCTGAGAATGGTTCCCCTGACTTTTCAGAAAAAGAAGTGCAACCAAAGCAACAAAATCTTTGTCCCCTCTGAGATCCTTTTCCCCAGTGTCTTGCCAACTGCAGGGTGCCTGTGGACAGTGTAAGCAGCTGTGTTCCTTCTCCCTGTGGCTCCCTTTGCAAGGGTTTCACCTGAAAAAACCACAAACCAGTGGATAGACTTGAAGTAGCTATTCCTTCTGCACCCTTCTTGTGTTTTCCCCTTTATCTCTTTCTTTATCTGGACCTGAGGATTTTGTGATTGGTACTTGTACACCTTACACTTCTCAGGTGCCCTCTTTCTCCTCTTTCCCTGTGCTTTTCTGGCTCCTGTCCTCCCACTCCCAGGAAATATCTGAAAGATAATTTGGCATATTTTCTGCCACCTTCACATATCTCCCTGACTTCATGTTTTCTTAGCTGGTAGATAGCTTTTCAACATACATATATGTATGTATATATATATGTAATCCTTTTCACCTAGACTTGTGAGGAATTCCAGTCTCTTCCAGTGGGAGTTTTCAGGAAGGTTTAGGTTAAATGGGCCAATAAGGAAAAACATGTAGCAGGAGATCTCACCCTCTAAAGACATCTTTTCTCTTTTGCTCTTTATTTTATTCCCCTGGAAAATATATCAGAATATCTAGCTGTCAAAGAATTTAAACAATAACACCTGATCTGAAGATTGGAGCACAGGGCCTTTGAAAATAAAGATTGTAGTCTCTGTGTGGTGTGTCCAGGGACAGATGGGGCTGGAAGTCAGGGGTGCTGAGCAGCAGAGTGCTGTGGGGCTGCTGCTCTGGCATGGTGGCTCTCATTTCACCCGAACTCTCCTGTACATTCTCTTGGATTTTCTCTGGCACTTCCATTGTGCCATGACATACCTATCACAGGACAGGACAGCATTCAAGTCCAGTTTGAATTAATGTAAATGTGTTGGCTGAGCTTTTCTCCTGCTGTGTGTGAGTGGAAGGGGAGACATGAGCAGCCCCTGGGTGCTGGGTCAGCCTCCACCCCCTAGGAACTCTGGTTGCATCCTTCAGGGCTGGGATTCATCCCAGAGGATTTCAGATGTGCTGTTTAAGGTGCCTGTCCCTGCTTCTGAGAGAACTTAGGGAGATGCCTGTTGCACAAGGAAGCATCAGGTGTCAGGGGTGCTGCAGATCCCTGGGTTATAGGTTGTAACCCACCCTAGAGCTGCACTGATCTCTCTTGTAGAAAAGGGGGTCAGGGATCCCTAGAAATAAGATGTTTCCTACATCTTAAGACTCAGATTTTGCAGAAGTGGGAAACCTCTGTGAGGCCTTGGCCTGTCCTGGGGCAGCTCAGGTCACAGCAGGGATCAGACATCCTCTGCTGAACCCCCCTGGCCTCTGTTCCCACTCCTCAGCACGGGGTGCAGGCTGGTCCCTGGGGGTTTGGGCTGGCTCTCAGGGCCCTGGGATGGATGCTGCTGTGTTTGCAGCACAAATATCTCCCTGGACGCCTGCTTATCCTCTAGTGCTCAGGCTGTGCTGTGGCACTTGCCTGGGAGGAATAACCTCCGTAATTGCCGTAACCTCTGCAGCCTGCAGGAAAGGTGACTTCCATCTACTTCTAAATTATGACATTATTTTATTAGATCTTTAAACTTTAGTTAAATTTTTTATTTAAAAAAGGGGAGGAAGGTATCATATTTTAATTAGTAGCGGTGCCAAAGGAGTCCTACATTAATTATTTGAAATCACTCCATCCAGATGGTTTTAATTTTCACAGCAGGGAACCGGCATCTTTTTAAGGTGATATTTTTCAAATTAAAATCAGCTTGGATATTAGTCATACTGGCTGCAGAGCGAGGGGGTGGGGAGCACGAGCCAGTGTGCCCCGTGTTGTCCCTCTGAGCAGGGGCTGCCACGGGGACCTGCGTCAGAGGGTGGGAGCTGCTGCCAGTCCCGTGGGACCACAGCTCTCATGTGGAGGGTTTTGTCGGTGTTGGCTCCTCCTTTGGCTGGCCACAGCCTGTATCTGATGTTCAGAGTCACTCTCAGCAGCTTTTTGCTCTGAGGCTGGAGTGGGCAGGGAATGCCCCGCATGCTCAGAGGGAGCTGTGCTCTCCTGTTCTGGCCTGTGTGGAGCCCTGTCTGAGCCCTGTGCTGGGTGGCCCCACACCAGTGTTCATGCCCGGGTGGTTTGGCCACTGCACATCTGTGGGGAGCTCCTTGGTGCTCTGGGTGTTGGCCATGGCTCCTGGACCAGGCTTTGCTGGCTCCACAACCTTTGCTCATGTGCTGGCTGCTGGACTCCCGCTCTGAGGCTGAACTCCATCCTCTGCTCATGTGAGGAGAAGCCCTTTCAGAATCACCTCTTTAAAGGCAGACAGTCCCACCTTTGCTGTTCCCTTGTCTGTTAATGCTGCATTGCACCTGAGCAGCCTCCCTGAGCTTCCTGGAGCCATGGGCACTCACCGGGTTCCAGCCTGCCCTGGAGGAGCTGGCCTGGCCCTGTGCCATCACTCCCTCCTGGCTGGCTCACCTTGACAGCCTCCCTTTGAGGGGTTATTTCTGGCTCAGGGCCCTTCCTCACAGAAGTGGTCACAGGTTGGGTACTGCCCTGGCAGGTGAAGGGACAAAGTGGGCAGCACCCAGTTGTTGCTTCAGGCTGCTCTCCATCACAGGTACCTAAACCCATGAGGTGTTTCTGAAAAACTTCCATAAATATCCGTATCTGTGCATGATTGCAAGGGATATCCTGCTGTAATACAGACATAATTCCACTTGCTGTCAGAAAGCAGTTATAATTTAAATATCCCCTGTGATAACAGGTTCAACAAATAGATCTAAATAAATATAAGCAGCTAGTAACTGGAAACCCCTGAACTTACAGATGTGACTGAGCTGTGAGGGGAAAATTGTTTAGGGCCCTTGTGAGTTAAAGGTCTGTGATATTTGCACTGCTGCAGAAGCCAAAAGCTGACTTTACAAGTGGGAAAAATATTAATGTGTTTAAATGAAACAAACTCCTATTTCTATCCCCATGGTAAATCCTTACAATGAACATATTTGCTCTTAGAGGGCTTTAAAGTTTGAAATATGAATGCCAAAAAGAATGTGACTTTTTGCAGCACAGATCAAACATTCTCCAGAGTTTGGCAAAAGCTGTATTTCTACGGTGGGGCTCAGCACTCACAGGCGTGAGTATTTCCAGAGCAGGAGCGTGGAGCTGCACTCGCTGACACTCACACATTCTTGCATTGTGTTTCAACCATGTCTCCTTTCTCCTCCTCCATGGCGGGGATGGATCTGAACCAAAATGTCCAGTCTGCCTGTTCCTGCCTCTCTGGGGAAATTCCTGGAATCTGAATCTTGAGCATGACTGGAATTTGTGTTTAGATTAGAGATGGAGTAAAAGGCTGGATTTGGATCTGTCTGGGGTTTTGAGATGATGATGATGGCATGCTGCTTGTCTGGGTGGCAGCCTGGCCCCTTCTGCAGGTACAGCTGTGGCAGAACAGGGCATTTATGGAGATGCAGCAGAAATTTGTCCTCTACTCTGGCTCCTGCTGCAAACCAGCTCTGGCACTAATACCCTGCAAGACACTGAGATTGGCCACATTTCTCCCAGCTAGAGCTGGAGATCTCGGTCTGGACTGCCAGAAAGAAATTTCTGACCTCCTGGATGCACAACAATGCATGGAGGACCTGTGCAGGGTGGGTGTGCATCAGACAGAACAAGCAGTGCCCAATTTCTCCCTGCTGGCTGTTGTGGTGACCTTCAGGAGGTCACTGTGATGTTTTGCACTGGAGTGTGTGGCTGAACCACTTCTGTGCAGGGTTTGAGGGCTGCTGGCTGTGGGGAAAGGATTTTCTTTCTCGTCATGCTAATCTTTCATCTTCATGAGAATAAAATCCACATTTTAGCCTCCAAGAACCCTCCTGCAGTGTGAAGGAGAGGGCTGTCATTGGAACAGCCTGCCCGGGGCAGTGGTGGCATCACCATCACCAGAGGTGTTTAAAAGCCATGTAGATGTGACACCTGGAGACAGGGTGTAGTGGTGGCCTCAACAGTGCTGGAGGAACAGTTTTGGACTTGATGATCTCAGAGGTTTTTTCCAACATAAGCAATTCTCTGGTTGTATTAACACTGAGTTAATATTGCTGGTGGTGGTGGGGTTGGTGTGACAGATGGAGCCCACACGTGTGGTTATATTGTGTGTATTGTTGGTTATTCTGTGGTAAAGCAGCTTTAAATCTGGGGTATCTATGTGGGAGTGAGTGGAGAGGTGTCAGTCCTGCACCAAGCCACGAGCTCGGCCCCTGGTGCTCCCTGGGGCTGTGCCCTGCAGGGCACCTGGGCATGGTGTGGTCCAGCTGGGCACTGGGACAGTGCCCAGGGAGCTCTGCACCCTGTGCCTTCATGGACCACACGGGTAAATGCTTTCTTTTCTTCTTCCTTTCCAAGCCCAGCTTCTAGTGGAAACAGACACTTTCGGAAGTCAAGTCCGGATCAAAGGGAAGGAGACAGATTTCTACCTTTGCATGAACAGGAAAGGCAAGCTAGTGGGGAAGGTAAGTGTTTCCTATTAATTCATCTGTAACCTGAGTGTTACCTTGAGCAGCCTCCTCAAGGCTGTAATGCTGTGTTTGAGCCCTGTCTGCCAGCCTCAGATGAGGAGCAGGACAGTTTGCAGGGAAGCTCTTGAGTCCCCCCACGCTGCAGAGGAGCCCTGCAGCATCACAGGGCTCTCCAGTGCTGCTGCAGGTGTGCATGGGGTTGTGCCTCATGGGAGATGTCACCTTAGCATCCCAGTGCATGGCCACCTCCACAGCACCTTCCTCACCTGGCCTTTCTTTGGGGGGACATTCAAATATGAATTTCCCCCAGAACTCCTTTTGGGACAAATTCAGAGTAGAAGGGCAGGCAGAGCACTGTGCTGTGGTTTGTGCTGGGCAGCAGAAAGCTCCTTCCTGCCCTCCAGGAGCCAGGGACTGGCATGGCACAGCCAGGGCTGGAATCTGGACGTTGGGGGATGCCTCCCCAATGGAAGCATGTAACAAATTACATGTTATTAACAGTTGTATTCACCCTTCAGCCCAACTTGTGTGCTGAAGTAGTATTTTTGTAATTCACACAGTCCTTCTTTATTGCTGGAAAGGCTGGAGGCTTGCTAACCAGGAAGAGGCTTGTGCAAAGCTGAACTGCCACCAAAAAAAAAATGTCAAATAGAATATTCCAGCCTTCAAACCTCGGCTGTGCTCACTTTGCACCACCAGGAGTTCCAATCGAGCATCTTTGTGGCTGTGAAAAATGGAAGCAGAGTTTTGTTTTTAGTCAAGGCAGTGAAAGCCATGCTCCCAAACAGAAACCAGAGACCAAATGGCTCTGATGAAAAATTATTTGCTGTTGTGGTCCCAGGAGTGACACCTGTGGGACACTGCCTTTCCTGGAGGACCCCTCCCTCTTCCACTTGTGCTTCCTTGGGGATCAGATGCTCTGTGGAGCCCAAGATCAGGTTATTTGCTGCTAGCCAGGGCCCTGTGCCTCACCTGCTTTGGAGCTACCTGTCGAGGCAGGAGGCATCCAGGGCACTGCTTAAAATCAGGCAGAAATGGAAATTAGCACTCTGAGAGGGCTGGGGGAAAGCAGCCAATTGTCTCTGCTTCCTGCACTTGTGTTACCACCCTGCATGGGACCCCATTGTTTGGTCTTGGACAGGGAAATTATTTTAACTGGTTTTAAACCATATTGGATGCTTTTGAAGGTTGCATTGGACACAAACCTACCTGAGATTTTTCTGTGCCCTAATTTTCCATCCTTTAAATCTGCTCATAGCATTTTCCCCAGATCTGAGCATTTTCCCCAGAAATGTTGTAAGGATAATGTTGTTAATGTTTATGAGGTGCTGATGCCAGTCATGGAGACCTTAGAAGCACTCAGGTGGGGTAAATTGAGCACAAAATCTTAGAAAAATCCTTTTCCTTCAGCAGACCTTGCCGCAGGTGAGTCAGCAGTGGCACAGGGCAGCCCACAGCCTTTCCTGTTCTGAATGGAGTGCCCTGGAGCATCCTGGCAAAGTCAGGATGCTCCTGGGCACTCAGTTTTTCCAAACATACCATATATTTATATGGAATGTGTATTTAAGGCTCATCCCTTGGTTTGGCCCACTGGGCACTGAGGCAGGACACTTGTTTCACTTGTCACCTTTCAGGCAGCGTGAACCTCTACCCGCCCCCCCGTGTGCTTTTCATGCTTTTCATGGTGTTAAGCTGGCAAATGTTTTGTTACAAAGAATAAATAAGTCTGTTCTTGTAAATACTGCTGCCCTCCCAGCCCAGGCTGTGACAATTTCCCAAAGCAGCCGAGCTGGGCTGGAGGGAACGCTGGGCAGGAAAATGTTCCAGAGGTGTTGCCCATATTAACAGCTCCTCATGAGCAACAAAAGAAAACAATAGCATGTCTTCTTGATACCAGAGTGTGGTTTTAATTAGTGTCATGGTTTCAGCTCTCTTTGTGGCAAGAGTTTGAGGGAATGCTTTTTAGCCTGAATGCTCTAAACAGCCAGTAAACCCCAAGGAAAACATGAGATAAAAGTTATGCCTGGGCTTATACAAATATTTAAGTTCAGTCTGGGGGTGGAGGGGAATGAAGCCCACGGAGTGATTGTTCCATGGTTGTCCTGCTATGTTCATTTGGCAGGAGAGGAGCCATGGGACCAACCTGGGCCTTTCCTCTGCACGTTTCCTATTGCCTTGCCCTGCAGAATCCCCAACCAGACCAGCACATGCCATCTGGCTTTGTTCTCCTCCTCACTCAGCAGTTTTGGATCCCCCCCAGTTGAAAACCTGCTTTGAATTCAGCCCCTTTTGTGTCCCATAATCACCTACAAAGAGTGCCACGGTCAGGAGCAGGTTGTTGTTCTCAGCTGGAACTGGTGATGAACACAAGAGCTCCAGAGGTGGACAGGGCTTTTCCCCACCTTGGAGCTGGCTGTGCTGTAGGGAAGCAGATTAACATTAGCCCCCTGGGGGTGAAAGAGCAGCCTTTGTGTCCTTATTTCTGATGATTTCCCAGCACAGCCCTCGGATGGAGCCTGCTCAGGAGCCCCAAACCTTGTGGGTTTTGCCTGTCTCAGGTGCTGCTGTGTGTGTCCACAGGCAGCAGTGACCAAAGGGCTCGGAGCTGGTTTGGGCAGGCTCCTGACTCTGTTAGAACAGCAGCTGCTGCGGTCACTGGCACTCTGGGATGCTTTGGAAAACGAGACAGGGGATGTGTTGTACAGCAGTCACTTCTCTGTTACAAGTGAGCAGTGCCTGGGGAAAACAAACTAGAGTGTGTTTTTTGTGGATTCTTGGTGTTGTTTTGGAGAAGGCCCAAGAAACATTTAAATTTCTTTCTTTTTACTTCTGCCCGTCTGTTTCTTAGACCATGGTGTTTTGGAGCTACATAAAAATTGTAGGTCCTGAGTTATCTGGTCTTCCTGAGGTTTTCTGTGGACCATTGAACTTTATTATAAAATCACAGAATTTTTGGGGTTGGAAGGGACCTTAAATCTCATCCCATTCCACCCCTGCCATGGCAGGGACACCTCCCACTGTCCCAGGCTGCTCCAAGGCCCAGTGTCCAACCTGTCTTTAGACCCTGCCAGGGATCCAGGGGCAGCCACAGCTGCTCTGGGCACCCTGTGCCAGTACCCTCAAAGCAAAGAGTTTCTTCTTTATATCTGGTACAAATTTATCTTCTTTTAGTAAAAGCCATTACTCCCTGTTCTACTGCAACAGGTCCTGCTAAAAGGTTTGTCCCTGGTTTTTTTTGACCTTTTTGAAATACTGAAAGGCTGCAATAAGTTCTTCCTAGAGCCCTCTCTTCTCCAGGCTTTATGGTGGAATCACACTATGGTGGAATCAGGAGAGAGAGGAAAATATGAAAATTCAGAACAAGAATGCCAGCTGCTTTTCTGAGAAACTTTTTTGTCTTTAAAAAAAATTATTAAACCTGTTTATTTATATCAGGCTTTTTACAAACACAAGGGGAAGAGGACTCAAAAGTGCAGTTCTTCAAAGGAGAGGCACAATGTGACTTGTCCACTTGTGACAAGTCATCTAGAACACAACAACTCTGAATATTGGCAATAATTCACTGTTAGAGGCAAAGAGGAGCTGATGGTCTCTTTGGAGGTGCTCTTGAGCTTCTAACTGGTTCTCCTGGGGAGTCCTTCTGTGTTTTCTCTCTCTGCCTCAGCTTCTCTTATCTCATGCATTAGCATTGGGATGATTTGTGTTTGCTGAAGGGCAAGGCTAAGTCACTGAAGTCTCCCAGAGTGAGGAGCAGCCTGGGCTGAGCAGGTGGCTCCTACCTGAGCTGGGCTCCAGCTGCTCTTGCTGAGCCTGTCCTTACACACATCCAGCTCCCTAGAACTGCAGAATGCTGCAGAGATTGCCTTTCCCTGCCCTGTGCCATCCTCTGCCAGGAGAACATTTGCAGTCAGGGGTCTGTGTGAAGCCTGAAGCACCAAAGGATGGCCAGAGCCTGCCTTTCTTTTGGGCACAGCCAGGGTGGGTGGCTGCTGCATGGGGAACAGAGCAGAGCATCTCCTGAGCCCAGCACTGCCTCCAGGGAAGTTCCCTGACACCCCCTGTGGGATGAGGCAATCTGGTGAGTGCTGGTGCTCAGGCTGCAGCAGGTATCCCTGGGGAGGGTTCTTCACACCCCACCTCCTTTCAAAGATCCTCAGTGATCTGGTGTCCACACACTCTCAAAATCAAGGTAGTATTGGGGGCATATAGGGGCATTATTTTTGTAAAAGCATTTTAATGAGTTTGATTTTATTCCTCCATTCTCTGAGCTGAGTGTGAGCAGAGGGGAAAAGCTGTTTGGTGAAGGGCAGGAGGCTGTGGGCAGCTGAGGCTGAGGCAGAGCTCCAGGCAGGTGTCAGATCCTTTGGGTGCCTCCTGGGGATGTGTCCCTGGCACCACGTCTGCAGCACTGGGGCCCTCCCTGCACTGCAGTGTTGAGCTTTGGCCCCAGGCACAGCCCAGCTCCTGAACAAAAGCTGTGCCAGCCAAAGCCTGGCTGTGCCAGGGCCATGTCATTGGCACAGGGGACAGGAGGTGGCACGGCCAGGCTGGCCACCAGTGCCTCTCCCAGCCTGACCAGCACCACTGTGCTGGTGCCACTCACAGCAGAGACCTGCCTCTCAGACACAGCATTTTTGCTGGTGTGATAACTGCTTTCCAAGCCAATATATTTCTTAATGTTACCAGAAAGTTGCTAATACCATATGGCAAGGCTCTCTGTATTTTTGCAGGACAACAAACAAATTGTTGCTAGATGCCAGACTGCTCTGGCAGAGCTTTATCACTGATGCCTGCCAGCAGTAGCCTTTAGGGGATAGTAATAATTTGAAGTTGTTTACATTACAGCTTTAAAATAGGGGTTTTCTTGAGGCATGTGTGTGTTTAGTCAGGAAAGTTGGCTAAAAAACTCTTGACAGCATCAAAGCCTGAAGGTGCCCACTGTGGCCTGTAAATGTGCTCTGGGCCCCTGAAACCCTCTGGCCCCATGGGAGAAG